AAAAAAAAAAAAAAAAAAAAAAAAACTTTGTTTTTATGCCTTTTTCTCTTGCTGTTATATATATATATTAATTTTTGTGTTGGTTGTTTGTTAAAGATTATTATTATTATTATTATTTTAATTTCTTTTGGGGAGCATGAGCATGTGGATGCTTTTTGAAGATGTTTAATACATTATGAGTTTTATATAAGTTTAGTTGTTTTGACCTGCCCAAGACTAACCCAGCAGCTAGGGGTAAAAGGGTAAATTACCAAATAATATTGTTTTAATTATTGATCCTTAATTAATATGATAATTCTTAGTTGTTTATACCTATTATTTTGGTAGAATTAAAAAATAGCAATAAATAGTTTGGTAGTATTTTCCAATATATAAATATGAAAATTAAATGGCTAAAGAATGAGTCCATTTCCTTCCATCTCTTTGATTTCTTGGATCTAAATATGGGTATAAAGTTATTTGTTAAATGAAAAATAGTATTTTTAATTCAATTTAATTTACACAAGTGGAGAAAATATTTTAATAATTTGATCAATATTTTATGGCATGCTTACAAAGAAGGAAATGTACGCAACAAATATAAATGTGAGCTTATTGAATATATATGTGAATAAATATGATATGTAACGCTTTATATTACAAAGATTAATAATTTATGTTATAAATATTACGTATTTTTTTTATTCTCCTTTTGTATCTCTCCCTTGTCTTATGCCAAAGAAATCGAATCATGTCCCGCATCCATTCAATGTCTTTATTTCTTTTTTCGAAAAATAAATATTCCAACTTGGAATCAAAGTCATGAATGTCAAACCATTTTTAAATATTAATCAATCCTTTAGAAGGAAGTCTTCCGACCACTCATAATTACCAACAAAAACTAAAAGTTTTATAAAAGTTCATAATACAAAAAACAATAAAATCTTACACGTGTCCTTGTTTCAGATGTGATAGTTTCATGATCGAGAGCCTTAAATTTCTTCCTTCTGTCTCAATATAATCAGATAAAAAGAAAAAGAGTATTATTTATTGGGTATAAATAAATATATAAATTAATTAAAAGGCTTTAAGAAATAAGAATGGTGTAAATGGTGAAGAAGGAAATAGCGGCGAGAAATGATGAAAGGAGAAGGAGAGTGGGAGGCGGAGCGCACGTTACATACAACAACGTCGTCCAGAAAGAAAAACCAAAACAGACATTCCCTAAACAAAAGGCCAACTCGTTCGTTACCCACGAGAAAAACACTCCTAATCCTAATATTTCCCCCCTTTTTTTCTTATAACAATCACACAACAAAAACCAACCAAAACGCTTGCGGTTAGAGATCATCCAGCACCGGCCAATGGCGACGGCGACGGTGAAAGTAGAGACTGAGAAGTTGATGGGTTGCTTGACATGCCCTCTTTGCAACAACTTGTTCACTGATGCTACCACCATATCTGAATGCCTGCACACATGTAATTACTCTTACTTTTTCTTTATGATTCCTCCATTCAAATGTTATGTCTAAGTGTAGATGTTGGGTTTCAGTTTGCAGGGATTGTATCTATGAGAAGATAACCGAGGAGGAGTTAGAGGGTTGTCCTGTGTGCAACACAAATCTAGGGGGTGTGCCTTTGGAGAAACTCAGGTACCGTGTGACCTAAAATACAATCATTGGAATGTGTTTTTCCAATCGGTAAAGATCCAATTTTTACACCTACTATGCAGGGCAGACCACACAATGGATGATCTGAGGGAAAAGACATTCCCTTGCCAACGAAGGAAGGAGAAGGCACCTGAAACAACACAGTCTGCTGTTTCATTGCCTACCAAAAGAAAAGAGAGATCACTCTCTTCCTTACACATCGACAACACAAATACGATTTCTCACTCTGCAGCGAAAATCCCGAAAGCTACAGCACAAGAGAACCTCGTCGTGCAACAATGCCTTTCCAACATGATTCCCCAAAGAAAACTCATCTATGATCAAAATAAGCAGAACAATACCCAAGTAATGGAAAGGGAAACTGATGATTTTAATCGAAAAGAAGAAGCAACTGCAACAAGTTCAAATGATTGTAATATACAAGATACTGTTGTCAAGCCAGAGCCAATCCAGATTGATGATAATTATTGCAAGGTTCAAGAGCATAGTCACAAGCCAATAATGGAAAGAGTTGAAAGAGGACTATCTTTTGGAACTTTGGGTTCCATTGAACATGGAAACTTGCAGGATGTTTCATCGGAAAGAAGATTATCCAGCAGCACTGGATCCTATGATCAGACTGTAGGTGACATTGGTGTAAAGAAACGAAGCAATACGTTCTCAAATCCAATATGGTTTGCGCTAGTTGCTTCTGATCACCAGTGAGATTAATAGCTTTAGAACAAGAAGAATAATAGTTCTGTTCATTTTTCTACACCTGCAACTGACCAAACATTGATATGTACTTGTAAATGACTTTACCAGGGAAGGAAATCAGCCTCTGCCTCAGATCTCCTCAAACTACTTGAGGGTCAGGTTAGTTCTATTTCCTACAGTAATAGGAGCCAATTTGATAATAAGCAAAGCAATTGCCCCGCCCCCTTTCTAGCATATTTCTAGTAGATTAATAAGTTTATAGTTCGGTGTTCCTTTTGATCCTCAACACACAGCGATGGCTGTATACCCGTGTCATTTATCCAGAAATATCTTGCGAAGAAACTGGGACTTGCTAGTGAGATTGAGGTAACAACCCGTCTTCTCCCTCTTAGTTATGTTAGCTTTCCTTCTGTTTGAAAGATCTAAAAAGATTCTACACATATCACTTAATGATAAGAAAGCAGTGTAGGCATTCATGTCAAAATGAACTGAACTCTACGCACGGTTCAAACACTCAAGAAGCAGAGTGAGTCTATATAACTGTCAAGTAACAACATTTCCTAAATATTTACAGGTGGAAATCTCATTTAAGGGCCATCCAGTGAGCTCCACATTGCATCTGCACGACCTCGTAGAACTGTGGCGACAGACAACCACAAAAATAGAACTAATACAGATATCTGTGGGAAGCTCAGCCAAGGATTTTGTGATGGTTCTATCTTATGGTCGAAAATTCCCAAATATTTGTGCTCACCTAGAGAATGATGTTCAACAAGAGATCAAATAGAGACATGTTTTATGCATCGTCTCATAAATTTCCCTCTTAAACTACAGGCCATAATTTAGAGGGTCAACTTCTTTCTTCTTCATTAAAATGAGACAACAAGGTCAACTAATCGAAACAGACTCGAACATACAATACGAGTAAAACTCACATTTGGGTCTCGTGATATCCTTCCAACTCATATTTCTTAAATGATAAGCATGCTCATTCGTAGAAAAAGGAAACTAAGGGAAGAATTTCATGTGACCAAAGGCCAATCGAAGAGCAAGGATTTGTTGGCTGAACAATCCCATTCAGTAGCTAATTTAGCTTCTACAAATGCAGAGGGAATCATACAACAATGGTAACATCCCAAGCGACTAATTTCAATTCAATCACATAGCGTGTTAATTAAGAGCGTATTGAAGGCTCCATTAGATCAAACTCTCAACAAGACACTCCAACTAAGTAAAAAAAACAATAATGCGCAAGATTTTGAGCTTAATAAACATGAATACTTTTCTGCAATTCATTGAGTTTTGCAATGTACATTTCATCCAACAAGACCAGTATATAGACCAGCAAACTGTCAAACTTCTATATGTAAACCAATTGGGAAAAAAGAAAAAACAGAACTTCAAATGGTTAAATAGTGAGACAAACCCACACATTCAATCAGAAGCCGCTATAATCACCTCTTGGACTCTCCAACAGGGCATCCCCAAAAGGGTCCTGCAAATCTCCAAGAATATCCTCCGTAGCCCTCAAAGCCGCATGCAAGCAGACCACCGCCGCCCCAGTTGCAAGCGAAATCAGCACATTCACAAAAACGCCCGCCAGCGCCAATCCAGTAGTCAATCCAAGAATGATGACCAAAACCAAATCGTCCAAGTCAAAACCAAAAACCCTAAGTGGGTCGTTGCGAGAGAAGTAAAGGAAGAACCAGGCAGCAAAGACGAGGAAGAAGACAATCATTGAAAATGGATGGTAGATGAGGCCAAGGAAGACGAGGAGCAAGAGGAGAAGACAGTAATTGGAAAGGAAACGGGTCAAGTTCTGAGACATTCGAGTCGTAGCGTTGGAGAGGGAAGAAGGAAGGCTAAGAGCAGTTGGGTCTAAGAATTCCCGCCATGGGTGGCGAGTGGCGATGACGGATCGACCAGCTTCCTTGAAAGTGACCGCGAATTCAGCGGCAGACATTGGCATAGAACCCTGGAAGCTTTTTGCCGGAGCTCCAATGAATGGTAATGAAGTCAAGAAAAAGAGAAATGCAAAGAAGCGGAAGATCCGAAGCTTAAATCTTTAGTCCCACGACTCCCGCCTTCTTCCCTTTGATTCTCGAATAAGAACAATATGAGGTTGAGCGAAAGCAATGGAAAAAATAGTGTCAAATTAAAATTTAAAAAATAAGAAAAAATGTATAATGAAAGAAAGGGCAGTTGACGGGCAGTCTGGAAAAGGTTCAACAGCTAACCAATCTGTTTAAAAATTTAATCTTAATATTTCTAATTTTGTATTCTTAAAAAAAGAAAAACTAATTAGGACATTCAGAAAAATAAAAGAAGATTTCTGTTGCTTTATTTGGATATTCCACAAGAATCTTGAATTATCATTGCCATGAAGAACAACAAACAGGAAGACAAAGAAAGAGAGGAAGAAATGAGCAAGGCGCGTAAGAATATATTACATTGAAATATTACCAACTCTGTGGGTTTGTTTCTAAATTTACAAGTCAAACTCGTCGGAGTCGGACAATGAAATGGGTCCAAGTGAGGTGTTACCTTCTAAGCTAGCAAGCATCACAAACTCCTTGTTGATGCATCCTCTTTTCTCTAACCATCTCACACCCAGCACACTGAACCGTACAACGACATCATTTCCAATCGTTGCAGATTGGGTGCTCGAGAAGACAGGATTTTCACCTCCAACATAATGGTAGGTTGGCATTTTACGAGCTGAAAGAAACACGTACTTGATCGGTCCACATTTTAAGAGTAATCCACGCCGAAATATGTGACGAACAACTCCATGCAAGATCTCTCCCTCCAAAGGCAAAAAGGTTCGGCAACTAAAGGTAATGGGGAATGAAACACATTGTGACTCAGACTCATTCTTGACCTCTTCCTTCCCTATGCTCTTCAAGCTAGTAACAGCAAGAAAATAGCCATGGTCTTTGCTGGCCTTCTCCTTCAAGAGGTTTTCTAATAGACATGTTATAATGTACCTCTGCAAGTTGACACCATCTCTCTTTTCCTTTTCCACCGTGACTTCCACATTTCTCACTAGTTCCACTTCACAAAACATTTCCCAGATCTGATCAAATTGAAGAAAAACAAACAGAGCTGTTTAGAACATTTCCTAATCTACATCTTATAAGAGATTGGAAATTTGTTGGCATCGGGAAACTAATCAGAAACAAATCAGAAAAATCTTAAGAACACTTGAGCCACCAAATTTGCTTTCTTAGACTATCTGATAAATACGCAACCATTAAACCGTGTAAACCCATCCACTTGGAGAAAGTGTTTCAGACTGAGATTTTGAGTCATACCTCCAACCATCACTTGGAGGATAAAGATGAAATAAATCAAAGAAGGAAACATTTGCTTCACATCGGCCTCTAACATTAGTGCTACGAAAAGAACATAAAATAAAAGGTCAACCATGTCCTTGAACTGGAAAATAAAAGAATTCCCAAATTGTTTGAGAACCCCTTCAGATGAGTCGTTGATATTAAACATTAAATCTAGTTGCAAAACTGGTGGAGTATTTTAGGAGCACCTAGAAGGATTCCAAACCGACAATAGGAACTTGAGCTCGCCATGTCATAATTTGGAAGATCGTACGTACATCCATTAAGTACTAACAACTTTTAAGAAAATGAAAATTCTAACAAACATAGCAGAGTGGTTGGTCATTCTGTAAATTCCCGAAGGAACAGTGACAAATGATCAAAGGATCCACCCGATTATGCTCGGCGATTTATGCATTTCAAGATTAAGCCAATCCAGTGAAAACATTTCCTGGCAACTAACCTAAATCCGACTCTCTCTGTTCACGAACTGACCACAAATAGAGTTTAATGCGTCAGAGCAGCACAAATAGGAAGTATCAACAATCGCCATTCGGTCACAATCCCCAACCAATTCCAGTGGTCTCAACATCCAAACAGAGGATCGAATCAAGAATCAAACAGCAAAGGAAAAAACACAGGGACTACCTCAAACGCCAGATGAACAAAACGCCTAGAAATTCAATAATCCTACAATTACGGGAGAGCAGAACCGAGTACAGATCCCGAAAACAAATTTCAGACACTTGAAAATCAAAATATGATGCGAACTATCTACTGCAACACGGATAAGAGAAGTGCGGAGGTAAGGAGGAATTAGTTACCTGTTATGAAAAGTCAAGAGCAGCGGAGGCGGAGAAGGAGGAGGAGGGGCGGCGGCAAGAATTAGGAAGAATTAGAAAAATGAAATTGGGCGCGCATTACGAACTGTGGCCATGTTGTGATTGGTGAAAAGCATTGCAGTGGATAAGTGAGGGCTGATGGTTTTGCCATATTTTATAGGAACAAAAATATGGATCTTGGAAATGGAAGCTGCTCCGTTACTTACTTTTCGTCCCTTCTCCGATATGATCAATGACGTGTACTATGAAATATAAATCCTACTACTTTTTTCTTTTTAATTAGATTACTTTATTTTATTGGTTCTTTTTAAGATAGTTAAAGAAATTTTAAAATATAAATTTAAGGCATATTATTTAGGACTATGCTATTTAATATTAACGGTTAAAAACTTGAAAATATCAAATTTAAGATCTATTATTTAATACATGTATTAAGGAATGAAAATTAAATAAAAGATAGTTTATATAATTTTATAATATATTAATCTCATTTAATATAGTTTGCTTTTCTATTAAATATTTACAATTAAAATTTATATAATTTTATTAAATTCATTTATTCCAGAGTAATTAAAAATTAATTATCAAATTTCATAAATAAAACTTTAAATCAAACTGTTTTTTTAGTGTGGATATGTTCTATCTATTTATTAAAAAAAATAAAAAAAAAATTAACTTTGACCCAAAAAATTAAAAATTATTGCAGAAAAAGTGGAGAGAAAACTCTATTGTATCTAACATATCATCCCTTGTGTCAATTCAAACTAAAAAAGAGTTTCAGATTAATCGTGCACTAAGATCATAGATTACAATTGTTAGTATGATTTTTCATGCTCTTTATTGGGAAATTTTTGTTACACAAAATTTGACACTCAATTTAGAGTACACATATTTGATGTTCTTTACCCTATTTTGGCCCTGAATTTAGATTACACTTTCGACGGCGGCGGCGAACCGGAAGGTGTCTTGGGCTTTTGCGAGAAAGAAAACGGGTAATTTTGGACACAGCTGGTTTTCGACCCAAAATCCCATTGAACCATAGCAAGTTCGCAGCTTCCATTATCTGATTTTACGTTTCTCTCTGCTTAGTTCGTGGTCTGGCAAGCAATTATGCTTCTGTAATCCGCGATGGCTCTAATACACAGTCGTTTATGCCAAGCCACGAACTTCTTCGATACATTTCAAACTTCCTTCCCTGAATTCCATGGCTCTCGCGTTTTCCTCAAGTACGGTTCGTCGATTGTCTTCAGAAACCGCTCTTTCTGCTCTCCGTTTTATGCGTTTACGACGGAAAAATGTTCCAATCGAATTCCGTATGGGAGTTTAAGCACGCAAACACCCATTTCCAGATATGATTTGAGGAGGAATTTCTGTCGTGCTAATTGGATAGATAGGTGGAACGAAACCGCGAAACAAAATCGTCCAAAACCACCTCGCGCCGTGTTGGACTATCCCAGTAGCGATGACAATGAAGTTTCTATTTCACGTTCAGATTTTTCGAAGAGTTATAGAGGTGTTAGTAGTAGGATTGATGATGATGGAAGAGGGGGAAGTACAATGGAGAAGATTGTGAGAAAATTGAAGAAATTTGGGTACATGGACGATGAGAATAAAGAGAAGGGGCAAGAGAGAGCCGCCATTGAAAAGGGGTCCGTGGAGGACATATTCTATGTTGAGGAAGGAATGTTGCCTAATACTCGAGGTGGGTTTTCTAAGGAATCTCCATTGGGAGTTGAGGGCATGTTTGGAAGTAATGGAGAGGTTAGATTTCCATGGGAGAAGCCAAAAGAAAGGGAATATGCAGATGGGGCTTCAACAAGGAGAAGGAACATGGCATCTTTGGCAGAATTGACTCTTCCTGAGTCAGAATTGAGAAGGCTGAGGAACTTGACATTCATTAAAAAGCACAAGATGAAGATAGGCGGTGGAGGAGTGACTCAGGCTGTTGTGGATATCATTCATGAAAAATGGAAATCTTCTGAGATTGTGAGGCTTAAAATTGAAGGTCCTCCTGCGCTTAACATGAAAAGGATGCACGAGATATTGGAGGTATGCTTTCTATGCAGTTCGTTTAGTTGTTTGTTCATGAAATTCCTGACATTTGTAAATTACTCGCTATTTGATTTCCAAACTCATAATATTGTCTTAGTAAATGAATTAGTTCTATGAGATATTGATGTATAAACCAATGGGAAACTGGCATGGCAGATAGATGATCAACAGGCCATAAGGAAGGGCCGCATTGCTTCCAAAGTTCCCTTCCTGGATATGAGCTTATTAATCCAATCTGTGTGTTTTTATTATGCTTTCTGTGCAGTTGTTGTTGCTGAAACAACTGTTTGAGAGCCATGTCTTTGTGAGGCACAGCCAACAAAGAAAATATGAAATTGTATATGATTTTCCTTTGCTGACATGCTTCCATCTGCTCTGGATAAACAGACCACACAGGCCTATTTTGAATGTTGTGTTCATGATTAGATGTTCGGATAAGTTTTTGGAACGTTTTGGCGCAAGCTTGATCTAAGCTCATTCGGAACGATCTAAAATTACCTGCTAGCTTATTTGTGTGCACATTTTGATTGATTATGTTCACAAACTTCTTATTAGATATTATTGTTTGGTTGCTAAATATGTGATCATTTATCTTGTCCTATTTGTTCTTTTAACAGAGAAAAACTGGTGGACTGGTTATTTGGAGGTCGGGAACTTCATTGTCTCTATATAGAGGTGTAAGCTATGAGCTTCCTGAAGCACCACAATTTAACAAATGGGTTTACAAGAGAAATGAGATAACTCCTGTTCCTGAAACGGATGTCAGTACAATAGTTCCTTCCGAATCTTCTTCTGATAGTAATGTACACGAGCCACGAGAAAAAAGAGCAGAAACTTCGACAGAGGGTGAACAGTGCAGCGAACAATTGACAGAAGTACAAGTGAATTATGAGGATGAAGTAGACAAATTACTGGATGGTTTGGGTCCAAGATACACAGACTGGCCAGGATTGGATCCTTTACCGGTCGATGCAGATATGCTCCCGGGAGTAGTTCCTGATTACAAACCTCCATTTAGAATTCTTCCCTATGGAGTGAGATCTTCTCTTGGAGTGAAGGAGGCTACAGCCTTGAGAAGACTTGCCAGAAGACTTCCTCCTCATTTTGCACTAGGTATGTTTTTTATTGTTTATGCTACTTAGCGACATCTGCTGCGGGTGATGATGTTTTTCGTGTATGCAGGCCGAAACAGGCAGCTTCAAGGTTTAGCCATCGCAATGGCTAAATTGTGGGAACGAAGTTCAATTGCGAAAATTGCACTGAAACGAGGTGTGCAGCTAACTACTAGTGAGAGAATGGCTGAAGAGATCAAGGTAACGTTTATTTTTATGGATAAACCACATTACATTAAATTGAGCAGATAAATTGAGTGTTTAAGTGGTTGATGTAGAAATTGACAGGGGGCATGCTTCTGTCAAGAAACAAAGACTTTCTGGTATTCTATAGGGGAAAGAATTTCTTGTCACCTGAGGTCACTGAAGCTTTGTTAGAAAGGGAGAGGTTGGCGAAGTCTCTACAAGATGAAGAAGAACAGGCAAGGTTGAAAGCATCAGCCCTTGTGGTTCCTGGCCTTGAGAAAACAGAGCAATCTGGCACTGCTGGTTCTCTAGAGGAAACACTAGATGCTGATGCTAAATGGGGAAAGAATCTGGACGACCAGCACAAGGAAAAAGTAATGCGGGACGCCGAACGATTGAGACATGCCGAACTTGTTAGGAAGCTGGAACGGAAGCTTGCTATTGTGAGTTTCTTAAATTAATTGCCTTTACTTCATCTAGAATTTTTCTCTTGATATATGAACATACCTGTTTCTCTAGGCTGAAAGAAAGTTGGTGAAAGCTGAACGAGCGTTATCTAAGGTAGAAGCGTTTATGACACCAGCTCAGCGGCAGGCAGAACCTGATAGCATAACTGAGGAGGAAAGGTTTATGTTTCGTAAGCTTGGTCTACGAATGAAAGCTTTCTTGCTTCTAGGTAAAACAACTCCCTCAACCACATTCAATTTATTCAAAATCTGCGATCACTCACTCAAATGGTGTTATTTCAGGTCGGCGTGAAGTTTTCGATGGTACGGTGGAAAACATGCACTTGCATTGGAAGTATCGTGAATTGGTGAAGATCATGATAAAAGCTAATTCTTTTGACCATGTCAAAAAGATAGCTTTGCAACTCGAAGCTGAGAGTGGGGGTGTCCTAGTTTCTATTGACAAAGTCTCCAAATCGTATGCGATAATCGTTTATCGAGGGAGGGATTATCAACGACCTTCTTTGCTGAGACCCAAGAATCTTTTGACAAAGAGGAAGGCTCTAGCACGGTCGATCGAGCTTCAAAGGCACAAGGTGCAACATTTAAAGTCCCTCGTGCATATGAACCTGTCGATAACATTTACTAAATTTTGGTTTTCTGATTGCGTTTGTTAAACAGGCTTTGCTGAGACATATATCAGCACTGCAGAGTAGCGTGGACAAACTAAGATCCGAAATCGTAAGTCTCTTGCAGCTGCAGGAAGGAACTATTTGAACTCTCTGATTGTTTGAGTGATACCTAATATGATATGTTCTTATGTGAAAGGAACAAATGGAGACGGTGAAAGACGGAGGGGATGAAGTATTATACAATACACTGGATTCTGCTTATCCTACTGACAATGATACGGAGGTCTTTAACTTCACAGGCTACGTTTCTGCTATTTTAGTCTGCCTAATCTGTTCAGGTCTAAGCTCATGTTTGTTTCCTTTGTTGTAGGAAGAAGACTTCGATACATATATGGAGGCATATGGCTCGGATAGTGATGCTGAAGATCAAGAGAATATCATGGCTGCTGACGATTACATGGAAGGGGATTTTCCACATGGAATCCAGGTACAAGAATCTGAGCTTGAATATGAGAGAGGTGGCTGAATCACGTATTTTATATCGAACGATCTATGATTGACCCAATATGAATGAAAACGATCATGTATTTGATAGATCAAGCTAGGTTGATCGAGTAGGTGTAAGAGTAAATCAAACTAGATGTTGGTTAAAATATTATATAATCCTTGTGTAGTTAACTTTGATCATATTTTAGGCCAAGCTAATTTGATAATCACTCTATGGGTCAAATATCAATCTAATTTGATTAATCCTCCGAATAAATAACAAAATAAACCTACTCAAATAAAATTATTCTAATTACTTTTAAGTTCCGACAAATAAAATTATGCAAATTTCCACTAAAACCTGGTACATTATTAACTTAGTATTTATTCAACGGTGGGTGAATTTTCTGGAACTTGAGCTGGGAGCATTTGAATGTTCCATTCAAGTTGACCAAACAATTTAGATACATAACACAGTTCAAATTAATAAATAGATGATTGCTCCTTATTTTCGAGTTTAAGCCTAATGTAAAAATCTACTAATGACTAATATGTACCTATCAACAGAAGTGAACATTAGGGACAGCATCCTCCAACAACGCCACTCGAACAATCAAAAACAAAGAACCTAAAGAACATACCCAGACCACGAAGAGCTTAAGCATTCTTATTAAAAACAACTAGAAGCCTTTGAACCAAGGACCTACGTCTGAACCATCAAAATTATCTCATTGTTCATGAACATGAAAATTAAATTCCAGTAAAAAAGTAGCTAAAATGAAATAATGTAGAAAAAAATTAAAGTATCCATAAAACTTGAAGAGAAGCAGAGTACACTTCAAGACTGAAATGGTATACTCTTTTCACTTCAGAGGAATGAACCTCGACGAGTGAGTAGCACCAATACCAGGTCGCCCATGCTTAACAGGCTTGTATGATATAGAAAACTCAGCTAGGTAATGGCCAATCATCTCCGGTTTGATTTCAACCTGATTGAAGGTCTTCCCATTGTAAACTCCAATGATACTTCCAATCATTTCAGGAACTATGATCATATTACGAAGGTGAGTTCTAACAGGTTCTGGCTTCTCACCCGGTGGTGCCTCGCGTTTCTGTAGACATAGGGGAAAAAACATGTGAGATTGATATCACATCGTTCAAGCCATTAACCCATGAAGCATCACCAGTAAGCAGCAACATTGTAGAAGACGGGTAAAGAGAATTTCACCAGCAGGCAGAAGCCAATGGGGAAGTATCAAATTAGTCATAATTGGTGGTGGTTGTGTATCTTAAACTAGGATTCTTGAATTATAAGAATTATGTAGGAGATTGTCATTCAATATCACCGCTGATTTAAAATTGAATTACTGAAAAATAAGAGAGTTGGTCAAATAATGGGAATTCCATGCGAACCTTGCGCTTGAACAATATCCGAGGTGGCAACCATCCATATTAAACACCAAATTTTCACAAAGCCGAAGCGCTAGGGATATTCTATGCGTTTACCATCTAAAGTTGTCCTGTTTTATGGGGTAATCACAGTACAGAATTGTGTAATACACACTCAACTCAAGTTAAAAGTAGTTAAAGGAAAAACACCAAATTTCATTCCAAAAACCACTCAACCAATCACAACCAACAAAAATATCCAACCCACGAATTGGATAATATCAACTATGTTAATGTGGAGCTCTATTCTTCTATCTAGTATACTCATATCTAACTAGACACGCACGCAACAAAATTGGCGAAAGTAATAACGTAAATCAGAATTATATTTTCAAAAAAAGAAAGGTTGAAATTTACTTTTCCAGTTAAAAAATGGACCAGATTCGAAAAGAAACAAGAAGTGGAGCAATTACCGCTTTACGGAGCTTCTTGATCAGAGCCATTGGCTTCCTTGTCAAACCCCTCCGGAACCTGAAACAGAAGATTCAGGAAAAGAGTCAAAACCAGCAAATAAATCGTTCCAAAAGATTACCACATATCATTCGAACTACCTTCTGCGAGCCCTGGCAGTGAAGAGCTTGACGAGCTCGTCGGTGGACATGTCGAGGAGAGCATCCAAGTCGACTCCACGGAAACTGAACTTCTTGAACGTCCTCTTCTTCGGCACTGCTCCTGCCGCCGTCACATCGGGATTATCGTCCGCCTACGAACACGAAATTCAGGTCAGATATCGTACACACAAACTACATAACAGGATACAGGAAATTCTTCGAGCCTTGCCATGGTTGGAGTTCAGAAATCAGAAGAAGCCCGAGGCCGAGTGCAAATGGCGATTCTGGCCGCTAGGGTTTTGAGTAGACTGCAAATGGCGATTAAGATGATATATAAACTCTGAAGCCCTGAATTGCAATTATATTTGCACAAAAGGACCTGTAATGCATAATATGCAACTTTCGCCCCAAATCTGGTACATTGGGCTCGTAAATAGTCTCCCATCGAAGAAAATGGGCCGACTTGATTGAAACGACTGAAGCCCAGAAAACAAAATCACTTTCTTTTCGGGCAATTTTAATGAGAACTGACAATATTATAATCATCTGGAGATCTAGAGCTCCTTATAAACTATAAAATCATGTCACACTATCAAATCCAAGTCGATTTTGGTTGGTTGGTTCAGTTTGTCGCCTTGGGCTTTAATCATAACTTTGAACAAAAAATCACTAGAATCTCCACCCACATATAATGTTGTCTTCTTCGTTAATATCAGATCATATATTCATTTGGGGTGACCCATAAGGTCTGTCTCACATAATTTCAACACTTCTAAACCAATGAATGGCAAAAAAAGAAGCCGACAAATGCGTCGAACAGAACCAAAACGAAAAGAAAACAGAAGTCTTGCGTTTGGTAGATTAACCAAAACTGCAAATGCTTCTTTCAAAAAACTGAACATTATCTATCATCATTACTATAGCTTCACTTCAAAATTTACTTTTTCACTGTACAATTTCATTACAGATTCTTCTTGAACTCTCTAGCTTTTTAATCTCAGATCTCAGCTGTTTCTGAGAATGGACCCTCGAAGGGGTTGGAGCAATTTCTTTCCAGATGGCCTCGGGTTCAGAAAATTGGCTCGGGTTCGGGTATAGCTCATAAACCGATTCTGCATCGGGGTTCAACTTGCTCAACGTTGACAAACACGCATTTGCTTCTGGGTCAAACATCTGAAATGGGTCATCGCCCTCTTTTCTATGGATCAACTGTGAATTTGGAAGCACGTTGAAAATAATTAATACATATGCAATTTCATATTAACGTTCAAGATTCGATGAATAAATGTAACATACCTTAGGTGGCTTGCCGAAGGAATTGGTGGAATAGAGCCTGACACTATCAACAACTTCGGAGTATTTTGGAAAAGCATTAGCAAATCTCTTGTGGGATTGCAACTGTGAATTCACCCGCACAGCTCTTCCCACCATTATGGCTCTCCTGTTTGAATCATTAAAACCTTTATTACAACCATGATGGTTTAAGATGTGCAATACTAAAGCTCCAAAAGTTTTGAGTTATATTCTCACCTTATTCCTCTAACAACAGCTAGATGAGCATCACAAACAACTCCAACTAGCTCTATTCTATATGGCATTCTATTTTGCATCTCTCCATGCTCGTTCCTCAATTCCTCCTCTTCTTCTTCACTCACAGGCTCCCAGTAATTCTCTGTGACGTTGTCCTTCTCTACCTTGTACCCAACTCCCATTCGATATCGACGCTTGTGAATATTTCGTGCCATTTCAATTGTCTGCATGACGTATGGCTCCCATGACAGAGTGCTGTCCAATATCACATCCCGTCCCTCATTTAATGCTGTAACCAGCAAGGAAGATGCAGCATCAATTGATGGCTGGTGTACCTGTTGTGATTTATCATGTAGTTAGTTAGCTAGTTCATAGAAACAATTAGAGATGGGCTGAAGAGGAGAGACACTCACTAATTCAGCTGTCTGAAGCATGTCGTCGTGATAGCCCATCGAGCTGATGGCTTTGTAGATAACATCAGTCTCTTTGAAGGCATCTGCCTCAACCATCACTCTGTTTGTTTTTGCTTCCAACCAGAAAGGCCTGCATAATTAGAAACTGTTTATCAACAAACTTTGTTCTAAAAGTTCTTAAACGTTTCGCCAAAGAGGGAGATTCAATATCGGTAATACGCACTCTTTAAGAATGTCTTTGAGGACAGTACTCTTGCCAGCCCCCATGCCACCACCCATAAGAAGAAGCACAGGGCTTCTCTTTCTTTGAGACAATTGCGGCGTTGCGTGGGAGCATTTTGACTCGCCCTTAGATGAAGCACATCCAATCTTCTTCATCTCCTCCACCAAAGTAGAGAACACCCTTGTCACTTTCAGATCCTTACTCACCCTATCGAATCTCTGCTTCCTATAAAAACAACCAGAAACCAGAAAAAAAGGGACAAAAAGACTCAGAATCTTCATTCATTGAAGCTATTTAGTGGATCTTAATCCTACAAGTAAGATGCAACATGATGGTTCATAACTCAGTAGCCAAATTTGACTTATCGAGCAAATTGACATAGATGAAAAAGAAAATCACCTAGTCGCTGCCACCACAAGATCCTTCAGCTTCTTGTGCTCGGAGTCAACACCCAAAACCTATCATTAAATCCACCGTAAATTAAGGGATATACTGAAATTCTAAAATCGTGTTGACTTTTTTTGGATGGGGGGTGGGGGGTGGGGGTGGATTTTTGAATATTACCTGAGTAATCATCAAGGAAGCTTGGCTCCAATGGAATGCGAAATAGCTCAAGATGCATTGATCAAATTCATCCATTAATTTAACATACAGAGATTCTCCGTCGGCTTCACTCGCGAAATATGCATAAATTTCTTCTTCGCACCCTTTCGTTTTCCTCAAATAGTTGTTTGCTAACTTGCAGAGTTGAGGACACTCATCTGCATCTGAAATCCCTAATTGCCTCGCTGCAAAAATAATAGGGTTAGATTTTTCGTTCTACACAGAACTAATTCAGTAGATGGTAATGGCAGAGAATTTTACCAACATAATGCGAAAATCTCTCCAAGAAATCAACGCGGCCGGACTCCGTCCTATGTAGATGCGGAATCAACTTTTGGTTGTTGATCACAGCCTTCGAAGTCCGCCGGAAATGGCGACTCCCGGCGGCGGGGACGCCTCCGACAAACGAAGTATTAAGATAGTGCGACGATGTAATGACCTTCCCGAACCCGCCATCTAACCACAGAGAAATCAGCAAAATAGCTAAATCTTCAACGTTCAGTGAATTTCAAAGATCAAAATCAATAAATAGGTGGGAAAATAGCTTTGATTTACCTTCGTGCTTCATGATGAAAATTCTCAAAAAGCGAAGAGATCGGAGGGAGAAGGTGAGGAGGATCTTTGATTGTTTGTCCTCTCGGCTTTGATGATGTTTGAATTTGGAGGTTCACAAATATATAAGCTCCACTGATTTGAGAAGTACGTGGGTCAGACTCTCTCATTCTGTATACGATTTGGAAGAGTCTGAGAATTGAACAGAGAACTTAATCCTATAAAATATTCTGTTGAAATTCAGTAGCTCCAAATTCTTTAAACTTGTAAAAATAATAATAATAAATTATAAATATTCGAATTTTATGAAAAAATTATAAATTATATTTTGTGCAAAGATGTCGAAAAATTATGTATATAAAAAGTTCCCTCTAGCTCGTCTTACCATCTTTATTTTAACTAAAAGAAATACACTGAATTATAAATTTGAAGCTCATCCGTCCGATAATAGATGCTTCATCGATAGCATTCTAATTTATAATTTAATAATATAAAAAAGAGTTTTGAAGTTGACTGGATTAAATATTTTATTTTAAAATATATTAAGTAAAGAAAAGATAGCAAAATTTATTAGGACAAAGTCACCCGTGACTTTTTTCTAATGGTTACTACCCTCAACTCTCAACTCTGTAAAGTAAAGTGAGTGATGATTTAGTTTCCTTTTTTAGTATTTTTCTTTCTTAATTTTACGGGAGGAGAAATTTAAATTTTAAAATTTTAAAATAATAAATACAATAGACTTAATTTGACAAGGAGTTGAAATAAACATATTACCATTCATAAATAGTGATAATTAATACGAATTAATAAGTAATATGGTTATTATTATTTGAGTTGGAGTGAAATTTTGTTTACTTTTAATATTTCACACATTAATTAAATATGGATTTTTGAATAAAGTGTAATTAGAAGAGTGGAAAGGTTAGAAAGCAAGACAAAAAAATAAAATAAAAAAAATAAAAAACGGTTTGACCGGTGGAATTTGGATTCAAAGTCAATAAAGTCCGGAATACATGAAACTTCCTTGTAATTACTGGTACTGCGCGCCATATATATTTTTTGCGGGAAAAAAAAAGAAGAAAAAAAAACTATTTTCCAAATAAACGTGGCTTATTATAAAAAAAGTCAATGAAGTTCTGGTAATTTTCCAGCTCACCCAGTTTTTTTTTTTTTTTTTTTTTTTTTTTTTTTTT